CACCCAACATTGTTCCAGTCTGCAATATGTGGTCTTTGGCAAACTTGAAAAAGGTGGCAATGTGCTTTCTGGAAAGCAAAGACTTCTCTTTAGTATTTTCCTTGGGAGGATTCATCAGTCAGTGCAACATGATATGTTAAGCCCTTGCAACCTCACAGAGTATTGTGTACTTTATTGTTGTAATGGGGTTTTTTTTCTGGACAACTACATATGGGAAGAGGGTAACAATGTTATTATATTTCTCCATTTGTATACTATGTGTCTGACCAGAGCATGATGGAGAGCAAACTCTCACAAAAGTTTTCATAGTTCTCTCCAGTTTCCTGAACACTGATAATCCTTTTCAGAGTTCAAAGAGATCTCATCTGATTAGGGCAGTGTTTCTCAACCTTGACAATTTTAAGGCATGTGGACTTCATCTCCCAGAATTCCACAGCCAGCTTTGCTGGCTGTGGAATTCTGGGAGTTGAAGTCCACATGCCTTAAAATTGTCAAGGTTGAGAAACACTGGATTAGGGCAAGATTCAATTCCATTAATTGTGTCCTGAAAAGCAGACACAATGTAGCAATCAACTTGTCTCTCTGTGTGTGTTTTTTTTTAAAAAAGAGAAGGACCTCCTCAAAGTTACCTGTGATTATCATCGTTTGGATCATCTAACTCACTGTAACTCATTAAGAGAATGGTGGCTCAGTATTCAAGAAAGATATGACACAGTGTATTGTTTTGTGTTTTGTTTAACCAGATGAAACTCCAGTTACACTGTAAATCAAGTATATCAGGATTATGAATAATTCTAAAGGGTTTACAAACTTTCACGATGATATTTGTTTTAGCAGCAATACAGCAGTAATTTGCCACTGCCTTCTTCCAGGATGTTTTTTCAATTTTCTAATCTAGCCTACATCCTTGATATACTTTGTAAATTGCCAATCCAGGTTCTAATCAGATGAGCCGATTCTGCTTAGTTTCCAAAACCAGGCTATGTCAGGCAGATATCTTGGCTAAAATGCATCCTTAACCAAAGTTTTTATTTGAATTAGTTACTTTTCAACACTTTACCTATATGAAAGAGATACATATCTTACATTTTACTTCACTACTGCAAAATAAAATGGTTAATATTTTTAATTAATACAACTTAGCACTAGTTCATAAAGGAAATCAATGAAAACTTGCTGCAGGTATGAACTACAGGTTGATTTTAATAATTACAACTGCATTCTAGTACTTTTCTGAACTGTAAATAACTGAAGCATTAAATCAAATACTGCTCTTTAAGTAAACAGAAGCATTAACTTTAAAAGTGTTAACATTAAAAGTGTTTGCAGGCTTATCAGTAAAATTGAAAATAATTATGGAGTCTTGGTTTGGTTGCTTGCTATGCAGTGAATCCAGGATCATCAAATGTTGTATTTTAAAAGGAATGCAATCTAATCTAGAAATGGTTGCACTTCTCCCACACACCTATACCAGTGGTATCTGTGCGTTTTTTATTTGAATTTATTTTCAGATTCACCTCAATCTCTCACGTTCATGAGTTTAAAGCAATATTCTAATCCAAACTGTAAAAAATATTTCCCAAAAGTTTCATATGGATATTCAAAGTACTGAGGGGCAAGATGGAATCCTCAAAAGCCAGTGAGGCAGCACAATTGCAGCAGCATCTTGGTCTATCTTTCAGAACTATCACAGTCATGCCAACATTATCGGATTCCAATCTGATAGATAAGAAAATGCTCCCTATATTTATCATGGATTAGGATCCTATTAAAAAGTCATCCCCATACCAGGGGTTCTCAACCTTGGCAACTTTACGACTTGTGGACTTCAACTCCCAGAATTCCTCAGCCAGCAAAGCTGGGAGTTCTGGGAGTTGAAGTCCACAAGTCTTAAAGTTGCCAAGGTTGAGAACCCCTACCATATACCTTTGATGTTGCTCAATATTTCATTTGGGAATTTCCAGAAAATTATTAAATTTTCACTGTTTAAATGTACAGAATCCTACATAACTAAGAAAGCTATAGTTTCAATTTAAGTTACACCACAGATATGATGACATTTGTTTTGGATGCTAAAAACACACACTTAATCTTCAGGCCCTTGCTCTCACCACGTGCAACTTTAACTTACGATAAAATTAGACTTGCTGTTCCAAAGTGTCATTGCTAATGTTGCCTGGAAACAGTAGAACAAATTTGATGATACTCAGCATTTAAGCTGTAGAACTCAGAGGGTGAGTGAGGGTGGATGATGAGAAAAGTTTCTGAGCAATCAAAAGTGCTTAATAAGAAAAAAAAATCAGCATTAATCATTTGGTGTTGCTTCTACATTTCAGTTTTCATTTCTTAGAAGTATTTCACTGCAATGCAGCAACATTGCAAAATCAACCTAAGCCCAGAAAGCATTCTGTAAGAATCATGTGGCAAACACATGACCCTCAGCTAAAATGAACATCCACAGTAATCAGTCAATAGCAACTGGTCAGAAAGGGTGAATCAGCTACAAAAAGATCAAATGGTAAAGATTACTTTATCAGTTGTAAAGTAACACTGTTGAATGTTCACACACCATAGACTTAAACAAGAAATACCAAGTATTTTGCAGGGGTGGGGGGAGAAACATCTTTGCAACCTATTACATAAGCAATCAGTTCTAGTATAAAAGAACCAAATGTCGTTACTAACTTTTTATAACATCTCATAAAATCTTCTTATCTCCATTCTGTGACATCTGCTACCGAATTGTCACAATATATCCCTACAGACAACATTAGAGATTCTTTTCAGTTTCTCAGTAAACTTTGAAGACAAACTTCACAAATAGTAGCTGTTCAGAACAAATTACAGTATAGGCTTTCAGGCAAGACATTCCTGGTTTAAGTATTTCTCTCTTCTTACACTAGGAGTCCATTTCCTCAAAGTCATTCTTTTTACACTTTGCACATACTACTCATTTACACTTCTATTAAGGTGGCCTCAAAACTGTAGCTGCCTTAATTGTGCTTGCCATACACTAAGTCCATCAACATTCAGAATACTATATCCCTACTTTTGTTATTGTTGCACTATGGAAAATTAATTATATATAAATTCACATGAGTTATTTTCCGAACTTTTGCAGCCGAATTATCCTTCAATATAAATTATTCAAAGAGCAGTGCTCTGAAGTACCAATGCTGCCAAGCTGAAAAGAACAAGTAAAGATAAAGCAGGGATAGAAACAAGCTACATACATATGAAGAGGAAAAGAAGTCCAGAGTTATGCTGTATTTTAAGTTTAAAGAAATGAACAAGAACAGGAATGGCTAGAGATACAGATGAAAAGATAAATTTATTTATAAAGCAAAGATAAAGGTGAGAATACTTATAAAGACAGAATGTAATATACAGGGGCAGACAACTGACAACCTTAAATCCCTTTGTAAATGCTCCTAATCCTGATTGTTGAACCTCAATAATACAATTCACTACCATTAATTGTGGAGAACAGATGAGAACTAAGCTCTACAGTAGTCATATCATAGTTAAAACTGAAAGACAACTTAAATTTCCCAAAGGCCGCTGTCTCCCCGTTTTTCCTAAATATTAAATATAGCTTTTAGTCAAGGCTGCTCACTAAGCATACTAGAAAAAAGATGCAACATATATAAAGAGTACAGAACAACCATTAGTGAAAGACATCTAAGGAAATCTATAGCCAATGGAGAGCATATGTATGCATGTTAAGTGGTCACCGATTAAGACAAGGTGAATTGAACAACATTAAAAAAAAATCAAGACTGAGGTCTACTTGATATAGTATGGTGTTCCAAGTGTCACAGTCATCATTTAGTAAATGACCTTGGATCATCTTCCAGTACATCCATCCTCATAGTTGGGAGAATTAAATGAAAAGAAAAAAACTGTACATTTCCCTAAATTCCTTCTTGAAACCACACTTTCCCCCTTCATTTAACCTAAGACACTTCCATTAACAAAAGTTTCCCCGATGTTTTTTTTCTTCCCCGCACACCATTTCCCCACTATAAGCTTTAACAACAGGAAGTTGGGATCTTGATCCCGGATTGCTTACCTAAATCGTGGAGAAAAGTAGATGGGAATCTACAGTCATTCTCGGAGAGCAACTAAGGACAGACTAAGATCTACAAGTTTCCTCTTTATGCTACAGAATATACCAAATAACGAACCAACTTCCTTGGCTATCAGAAGGGCTGGGATACCCAATGCTTTGAGTTATTCTTAGATGATTATTTACATCTTACAACAGGATTCAGAGAAAAGCTTCAGGCAACCCTATCTTTCAAGGGGGGGGGGGATCTCAGAATGTTCTTTGAAAAGCATTAAAGTCAAAGCCACCATTCTGTTTACTTACTGCGGGCACAAACAACCGTTCTAGATCCCTCAAGAGCCATGGCAGCCTTCCCTGTTCCCGAGGGCCGTGCCCCCAAAGCCGCTTTTCCTTCGGCATGGAGCAATTGCTCCATTCACCGCCTTTCACCCCGTTACCACTTACCCCACTATAGTCCCCGTCTCCCGCTCCCTCTACAACCTTGTCATTCCCTTCTGTCCCCACGCACACAAGAAAGCTACCATAGTACTCACTATTCGGGATTCATACTGGACATGTCAGCGGGGGCCCCCACGGCCTGTAGAGAATGAGCTCTCTCCGCGGAGCAGGCGGCGGTCAGACCCACCACCGGCGGCTCCTGGAATGGTCGGCCTTCCTAGCCAACTACACACCCAAAGGCGACAAACGCAGGCAACAAGGGTGTCTCCTTCCAACAGGGACAACCCCTCCCCACACAAGCGGCGACTGCTGCCGTCTCCGCTCTGGCACCTAAAACTCAAAATGGCTGCCACCTCCGAAACCAGGAAACGGAGAAGCCTCTGGTGGAGGGCTGGGTCTTACATGATGGTGAGAAGGCGGCGGGATCCTTGGCAAGGGATGCTGGGGAATTGAGTTCCCAAGTCCCGCGACAGCTTTCGGGTTGCTTTGGCGCTGAGTCCACAAAACAACTCGGTTTCCCAGCAAACCTACGGGCAGATTGACGCGTGCGTAATCAAAGCTCTTTTTTTTCGTGTTTCCCGGTTGACTCAACTTTGATATTTTGGTAACCGATTGGCTGACAGGTTCAGCCGGCCGGGCAACGTCAGCAGGGAAACGTGGCAGCTTGGGCGAGCCGTTGATTTCTCCAGACAGGATAGGGAGAAAGCGGGGCAGCGGCGAAGGGAGGGAAAAGCGACGCCAGCTATTTTGTGGGCGGAGCGATCGCGTGGAATTGGAATTTGAACGGAGGTTAGATGTAGCAATTAGAATATAGATTTTTTTAAAAAAAATGCTCCGTGGATAAAGTTTCGAGTCCAACGTCGTGGTAAAGGGAAAGTATTAATCTATAAATATTATGCAGATACTGCCAGTAGATTTTTTTATATGAGTCTGTGCCAGGTGTGGACTGATAAGCACTCTGTAGGGAGGTTAGAGGCCTTATTTCGCAATTTAAAATGGATTATAAAACGGAAACTTTAACGCCAAGTAAACCCTTACAGATTAATAGTACCCTGCTGTTTGCTTTTAAATAATTGATGCTGAGATTCCGTTATCCAATGCCATGCCAACATGTCAAAAATTTACAAAGGTCTACCTACAAACATTCCCTAAAACAGTTTAAATATGAAATTACCTGATGAAGTACCATTAGCTAGTTTATTCTGTGCCTTGTGTACTAATAGATTATAACATTATTTGCAATATATAATGTAGTCCTCTATAATTTCTTTTTGCTGAAACATGTTTCAAGTACCATATTGAAACAAACGTGCTTTTAATATGTATATACAAATGATACGTTTGCAGTGGTAGGATTCAAATATGGGAACAACCAGTTCTCTGTGTGGATGCCACATCCAGAAGTCCAGTCTGGGCCTGGACCAGTTCCGTGGAGAAAGGTTTTTCCATGGACCGGAGGGGGTGTAGTTTTGTGTGTTGCGTGCATCCCACAGATGGGGCTTTGCTTGTTTGTGCAGACCGGTTGCTGGCATGTCATGGCCTGGTACCGGTCTACGGATAGGGGGTTGGGGACCCCTGCATTAGAGGATAAAGTAAAAACATCCTCTGAGTATTATTTTCCTAAGACATTTCCAAAATAAGCAAAATGGGGAAATATGTTTTGTGAAAACTTTGGATGATATTAAGGATTTAATATACATTCTAAATATGTAAGCCACCTGTTTATCAAGGAAACCCAGGCGCTTAATACCAGCTTTATTATAAATTTAATATATGTTTACCTCAGATGCTGCTTCTGTGCTATCATGTGCTATCAATACAAGAAACAATGTATTAGTAGAAACTGCATTAAATAGTGTCTTTGATCCAATTAGATATTACCTGCTTGTTATATTTTCTAGATTAAAGTTAAGTGAAAGGTTGCCTAGAGTAACTATATTTAGAAAACAACAAAATTTAGAGGGTATTTAAAACTATACTGTAATGTAAACACTATTGCAGAGGACTTGTGCCAACTTCTGTTTCCTTTTCCCACCCAACTTGTGAGAAAGATAAGATCTTCCCTTTTTGTTCCAACATTAATTGCTTTAAACTGATCACAATTTAACAGAGAGGTCAACTACATTAATAATCAGATAGTTACCAAAAGCTATCTTGTAGCTCCTTGATTCCAGAAAGATTTCCCAATGTGGGAAAAAACAGTAAGCAAAATAGCAAGCAAACGGCAATAAAATAGCAAGCTACATAATGGAGGACTTCTTCACCACACTCTTACGTACTTCACTTAGTTCTCCAGATTAGATCCACATAATTCTTGATCTCTTATTCTGTACCTTAAAAGTATTGGACTCTGAACAGCTAGTATAATTCAATCTTATCATGAAATACAATACAAAACATAATTTGAGGAGAGGTCTAACTGTTCTTGGATAGTTCTTGATCATAGAAGTTCATGTCCTGATTCTTGGTACTTATCCATCAGCCATACTTTGATTTTATCTGAGTTTCTGGCACATCATTTAATCCCCTCCAACATACTCTTGCTTTTCCATGTACCTGTATATTCAGACCAACTGTATGTACTTCATTAGACAGTGTTTTAATCATATAGTTTAGTGATGGCGAACCTTTTAGAGACTGAGGGCCCAAACTGCAACCCAAAACCCACTTATGCATCGTTGGGTGCCGGGTGGGTGTGGCCCATTTGGTGGGTGTGGCCAAGTGGGTGGGTGTGGGCCATTGGGTGGCCGTGGCTGCAGTGGTAATGGCAGACTGGGTGGAACTAAAAAGTTCAATCAATCAATTCAAACTTTGCAAGATCTTTTTTTTCCCCCGCAAGAAATTGAAATTGACTGATTAATTGAACCTTTTTTTTTTTTGCACATGACTGCGGAGGCCTAAAGCGAAAAGGTTTTATAAAACCCAGCTGAAGGCCTAGGACTGGGGCGACGGCGCGCGTGCCCACAGAGAGGGCTCTGAGTGCCGCCTCTGGCACCCGTGCCATAGGTTCGCCACCACTGATATAGTTCCTTAAGCTCATCCATCATGATCACTAGAAAAGATAATTTGCTGGGCAGAGATTTCATTCTGTTCAAACACGGATTCTTTCTAGTTAAGTTAGTCCTCAGTTTATGTTTATTCAAAGTATCCTTCCAATAAACTCCTCAGGAAAAAAAATGGAGGGAAAGCTTTCTTTTCCTTTGGGAGATACAGCCTCAAGGCTTCACTCTGATCTAACTTTACCATTACAAAGAATAGATACTATTAAAATTCACCAATATTGAGGAACAGCAATAGGACTTAGAATCAACAGTGTCAGTTATGTTGTGTGCTTTTATGAACACTCTATTCCAAGAAGGAACTGTTTTACTAGAAGAAGCTGATACAGAAAAATATTTGGAACAAAACTTACCAGATATGATTATGGAGAACAATGTGAACACAAATTTATCACTAGATATAAAAAAAGATGAGGATCTAAAAATTACAAAGGAAATATAAATGCCAATTCAAGAGAGTAATCAGAATAATTTTCCCTGCTGGATCTAAAAAAAAGGCTTGTTAAAGTTTTGAAGAAATTTGAGACATGGGATAATAATCATTTGAATGGTTTAAAAAGCAAGATAGTTTTATGTAAAAAGAAGGAAACTAGGGAGAGAAAAATAGCAAATACAAATATAAAAGAACATAATAATAGATATCCTAAAAAAACTAGAAATCCCATAGTTGAAGGAAATGTCAGGCCCAAGATCGGGAATGGCACAGCGGAATCCAATTAAGTTCAATCCTTTATTTGCTTAAACCTAATTGACAGAATCTTGCCAAATTCAAGCGATAACCTTCTAACTTACTAGATATACTCGAAAGAATCTTGTGTCAATTCAAGCTACACTGAATTTCTTTCCTGCTCCCCCTTCCAGCTCGGGTCTGCACAATCTCTTCATCCAGGTCTCTTTCTGGAAGAACTCCTGTGTTGTCCAAACTCTCCCCCACTGCTCCTTCAGGAGCACTTTCCATCACACTCGGACCTGGTCTTCTTAAGGGCTTTTTGGAAAATTGCCACAATACAAAAAAGATGCTGAGAGTCTAGAAAGAATGCAGAGAAGAGCAACTAAGATGATAAGAGGTCTGGAGGCTAAATTGTACAAGCATTGGTTAAGGGAACTAGCTATGTCTAGCCTATCAAAGAGAAAGATTAGGGGTGACATGACAGCTGTCCTCCAGTAACTGAGGGGCAACCATACAGATGAGGGGTTGACTTATTCTCAAAAGCACCTAAGAGCTGGACAAGAAACAATGCATGGAAGCTCTTTAAAGTGAGATCCTATTGTAATTTACTCTGCCAAGAAATCTCTCCAGGTCTGCTCATGCACCACTGCAGCCCTTTTTCACTCTCAGCTGTGTGTATTTTTCTTGTTAGCTCATCCTCTGAGCTCACAAAGGAGAGGTAAATAAAACTTTTTGGTGGCTATTCACTCAAGAGTTTTATCTCATGTGGGTGCTTAGTTAGATTCATTTGCTTTGATTTGGTTGCTTATATTTTCTTGTGCTTTTATTTATCTGTATTTACGTAGCTTAGGTTTGTTTTATTTTACAGTATTTGTTTATTCGTTTTACTTAATATACTTATTTACATATACTGTTTATTTGTTTATTTCTTTATCATATTTCATATATTTGTTGAGTTAGTTTACTTAGGATTAGTTTAGTTTAGCTTAGTTTCGCACATTTCATTTATAATGGAGTTTGAGGTAAGAGATCTTTGGTTTTATTTATTTACTTGTCAACTTGCATGTCTGACCGTAGGATTTAGAATTCAAAGACGTAATATGACAGATAACATGATATAAGTAATGATAATGATGAAGTAAAACAGGAATCAAAAGAATCTAGGAACAAGCAAAAAACATTTTAGAATATTTTTTAGAATAACTTTTGAACCAAAATATTTTAAAAATATTTGCACATCTTCTTTCAGGCACTTCCTTCATGAACTGTGTTAATATCTTTGGTTTAAATGCATCCACAGGACAGTCTTCCAGAAAGGCTGGAAAACATGGCTCTGTGGCTTTGTTTGGGGTGCAGAGAAAAGCACAGTTGTGGGGCTGGCTAGAGCCCTCAAATCCCTAATTCCTAATTAAGTCAGGAGGCTCAGAGTCACCTTACTCTAAACTAGAGATGGGAGGATCCTAGCCTCTGACCATGTTGTCATCAACACTTTCTTGCAGGCAGTGTCAATTGTTCATACAGCAAGGTTTAAATTGGAACAAAAGGGCCATTATAACATCACTTTAACAGCAGAGCAGCTAAAGGCAACTTCAGCTGTCCCTGCACCTGGCTGGAGGCAAAAATTCAGGTGATGTCATGAGGTTTGTTGTTGCTTAACAATGGTTAACAGTGGTTAGTGAGAAGGATTGAGGGAAGACAGGACAGCTTTCTGGGTCTTGTAGTTTTTTTCTTTAACAGCAACTGAGTCTTGAGACAGTGCCACACTATGATTTGCTTAGTAAATTTGCTTCCTCTGTTCAAAGGGTTCAAAATGTCTTCTTTTGGCAGGTGTGTCTCTGGAAATACCAAGAGCAACGAAGAAAGCAGAGGGAGCACCTCCATGAAATAAAAGCAAGGCATCAGGAGGAGCTGGCGGAAAAGAATGCCAGAATAACGGCTGAGTCAGTCATTTCCCTTACAAGCCTGTCTTAAGCTTCTCTTTTGGTCTGCTTATTTCTATTCTATGACTGATGTATGCTTCTGGTAATTTTTATGTCTTAATTGGAAGAAGAAAATAAAGCGCTTGCCAGCAATTTAGCATGTATTGTAGAGGAAAACAACGAGATTAAAAAGAAACTCCAAAAAGTTGAAGAGAGTGAGTATTATTTTAATTATTTTAATTAATTTTCATTTTCATTTTTAAAATGAAAGTGATTGGCTTTATGAGAAATTTAACAAGTTCACGAGTACAAGTTATTTTATTATTTTTTCCACAGGGTTTGCCCAGCTGACCCCTGACACCGCAATTTTAATAGAGTGGCTGAGGGAATGGGAGATGGAGGCAATGGAGGAGGAAGAAGAGATGAGCTCCCAGATACACCTATTCACAAACATTTGACCAACATAGACAAAGATGAGATGCCAAAAGTGAAATAATCATAATGACAGGCTGTTGTTTCATAGCAGATTTACATAGGAGTTATGCAAAAAGAAAGAAAGAAAGAAAGAAAGAAAGAAAGAAAGAAAGAAAGAAAGAAAGAAAGAAAAATTTTCTCTGATTTTTTCCAGTTTTTTTTTTCTGAGAATTCAATTAAGAATCCAAGAAGACAACAAAATGATCAAAATACTTCCCTACCAACAATCAACATTCACATGAACAAGATTAACATCAAACCAACAATCGAGTAAACAATGTTCCAGTCAAGGAACTGCCAAACAAGCTAACAGTAAACAGCCCAGCCAAAGAAGGTCACACAAACCTACTACAAAGAACTGCACGACAAAGTAGCCCCAGGGGTGCATTGCAAGATCCACAAGAAATACCATTTGCCTGCAAGCAAGAACTGGTGGGACTATAAAATAGAAAATGAAGAAGCTAAAGTGTTCTGGGAGTTTAGAATCCAAAAAGACAGACACCTGCCATATAACAAGCCAACTGTCAATAAGAAAAGACAAAAAAAGTCTAGACAGTGGACTGGGCAGTACTGGAAACAGCAGACTAGAGAAGAAGGAGAAACTAAAAATACATATACAGAAGAAGGGGTAAGACCAAGAGAACAGAGACAAATAAGATTGACTAGAAGATTAAAACCTAGATATAATTGAAAGAGATGGGCAGATCATAATCCAATAAAGATGACTTGGAGAGGAACCAAGAAAAAATTAAGATGGTCCCTGAACAAATCTATATTGAAAGAAAAAGAATTTATACAACTAACGACAAAGGAAATGGACTTTGTCAAAAAAGTTAAGAAAGGATATCACTTTTAAATATGTGGGATACAGCTAAAGCATATTTTAGAGGGCTGGCTATAACTTATACTGCTAAAAAGAACAAAGAAAACAACAACAGTTAAAGCTGAAGGAAGAATTTAGGAAATTAGAATTAGAATTACAAATAGACCCACAAAAGAAAATACTTAAAAAGCAAATGGAAATATTAAAACATAAATTAAACCTTGTAGAGGCGGAAACAATGGCTTAACAAATTAAAAGGGCTAAACAGAACTTCTTTGAAAATGCTAACAAACTGGGAAGATGGTTAGCACATAAACTGAAAAAAGAAAAAGAAAAATTGATAAACAAGTTGCAAGATTCAAAAGGTGAATTACCGTTTCATAATAATACAATAAAAAATCAAAGATTTTTATGAGACAGAGGAAACTTCAAAAGAAAAAATACAGCAGTACTTTAAAAAAGCAGATCTACCAAAAATTCCAGAGAATATTCAAAACCTATTAAATGGAAAAATATTAGTGATGGAGATAACAGAAGCCATAAAAAGGCAAAAAATGACAAGACCCTGGGCCCAGTTGGACTACCTGCAGAACTTTAAAAATCCTTGCAAGATATATTAAGCCTAATAATGAAAGAACCATGTAATGAAATACTTTTGGAGGCTAAAATACCAAATATGTGGACAGAAGCTAGTATTACTTTAATACCTAAAGAAGATTCTGACTTGTCACAAATAAAAAAATATGGGCCGATATCATTATTAAACATAGATTATAAAATTTTTGCCTCAATAATAGCAGAAAGATTAAAGAAATTTCTGACTGAATTTATACATACAGACCAAAATGGTTTTTTTTTACCTAAAAGACAAATAAAAAAATAACTTAAGAATGATTCTAGATGTTTTGGAGTACTATGAAACCCACCCAGGGAAACAGATGGCATTAATATTTCTAGATGCACAGAAGGCGTTTGATAATGTAAATTGGCAATTCATGTTCTAGCAACTAGAAGAAATGGACTTTGGAAAAAAATTTATAAACATAATCAAAACAATTTATAATAAACAAATAGCTAAAGTAATTGTAAATGGAGATTTTACAGAAAATTTTATTAAAAAAGACACAAAACAGGGCTGCCCACTATCCCCCTTACTATTTATATCAACATTGGAAGTATTGAATAGAAATATCAGGCAAGATATAGAAATTAAAGGACTAGAAATAAAAGACGAAAAATATAAACTACAAGCATTTGCAGATGACTTGGTTTTTATATTAGAAGAACTGCTTGAAACAAGCGTTAAGCTTATGGAGAAAACAGAAGAATTTGGAGAAATGGCAGGGTTGAAAATAAATAGAGAAAATACTAAAGTGTTAACTAAAAATCTTACACAAAAACAAAAAAAACTAGCAAAAAAACAAATCTCCAAATAGTTAAAAAAGTTAAATATTTGGGAATCTATCTAACAGCAAGATGTGCAACAATTAAAGAAGACAACTATGCAGGTCTTTTTTTTGTCACAGAATGCCCAGAACAGATTTCTGGCACCTTTTTTGGATGGAACCTTGTAGGGTGCTAGGCAAGGCGGGTTGTATAACGTGAGTTCCAGCACTTTTTTTTTTTTTTTTCAAAAAAAGCACTGCAACTATATAAGATTATTAAAACAAATAAAACTAGATCTGGAAGAGTGAAAAAATCTACAACTTTCAATGCTGGGGAGAATAGCAATATGAACATTTTACCAAAATACTTTTTTTATTTCAAACAATACCTATAAGATTGGGAAAAACCTTTTTTGATGAACTTAATACAATAATATTGAAATTTATTTGGCAAGGAAAAAAAGCCAGAATTAGACTGAAAATGTTATAAGAAGCAAAAGAAAATGGAGGACTTGGACTACCAGACTGGACGTTATATTACCAATCATCTATATTAACATGGATAAAAGAGTGGACAATGCTTAGAGACAAACGATTACTATACCTAGAGGGGGATGACCTGCAACTGGGATGGCATGCCTTTCTGTGGTATGGGAAGAATAAAATACATAGATATTTTCAAAATCATTATATAAGAAATGCTCTTTTCTTAAAATGGGAAAAAATAAAAGCGAACATTTATATTAAAATACCTGGATGACTTTCAACAATGGAAGCATTTACGAGAAAGTTGTGACCTATAAAGATATTTTGGACAATGAAAGAAAAACTGTCTAGCTGTTTTAATTTAAAGACTCAATTGTGGTCATAAGATGACAACTACTTGTATGTGTTGCACTTATCTTTTCTAAGAAACAATTAATTCTTGGGCCATCAATGTATTGATGTTAATATATATACAATTAATAAACTATAGTACATTTAGTTCAAGCTAACTATTATCTGAAACATTTCTTGACATCAAACTTGATTCCTTGTAGGAGATAATAGCCGAGATCCCTGCTGAATTTTTGAAAAAAAAAAGTCTACTGATAAACTGGTCCCTGAAATAGGAAATCATTCTAAAAACCTAGTTTTCAAATTACAGAGGTTGAGTACCATTTTATGACCAGCTAAGATAATTGCTCAATTGAGATGGGAATTAATATAGGAAAAAAAATCCCAAAATGATGAAAACAAAGCCAGACAAGGAACTCAAGAACATTGTTTACTAAATACTGAAACTATGTACTTTATTTATAGGTATAAATCCAAGTCATGTTTTTTCTATAATGTAATGATAGAACTAGGTATTAGATTTAGAATTACAACTAACATCTGAGCTACAAAAATCAATTTTCCATCTCTTTCTGCCATCTAATGATTGTTTGAACCACAATAGGGTGGTCCTTGGAATTATATAGGAAACAACTCTTGTCCCAGGAGTTGTTTTACATTTATTTTAAGCACATCTTGACATGCACATGTAACCCCACTTTTGCCTCAGTAGGCTCTCAAGTAAAATTTAAAACATGGATTTTTCATTTACAAAGCCTTTCAAAAGGCCAAGCCATCTGAAGGACCAGCTATCTCCAATTTTCTCTGGCTTTCCAACAAGATTGCATTGTTGGTTAACTCTAGTACCACTTATCACATAGTGCCATCTGGCAGTGTGCCTTTTCAGTAACTCTGCCTGCTCTACAGAATATTATTATCTTGGAGATCAGGATTACTCTGCACCCACTGGCCTTTAGAAAAGTTCTGAAGACCTGTTTCTTTTATCACATGTTGGGACTGGATGCACCATGAGCCATATATATATATATATATATATATATATATATATATATATATTAATACATGTGAATTTTGACCCCAGCAAAGGTTTATATGTGTTTTTGCATCTTTTTTCTATTATTTACTCTGTATACTTTTTGGCCACTTTTAGTGTTAAGATACCCAGAGTGATTTATAAGTTGAAGGCTATAAATGGACTAAAATAAAATTTAAAAATGGCTGCTTTGAGCAGAGTCCGGCTCTTCACTATTTTCTAGGATCATGGGGAATGGAATAGTCTGTTCTTTCAAACTAGCTTCTTGATGCAGGTCAGGTGTCTAACCTGATTCTTGCCTCAGAGATCTTAATCACCCTGAGATACTACTGATATGTGGCAGATAATGCAAGCTGAACTTTATAAATATGAGCATAGCAGACATCTGCTATATCTAATCCATGTGAAAAGATTGCTCACATCCATTCTGGTTTGGCAAAAATGTTCTGTGTTGAATAGTCAACAATCAGCTGATTGTCAGGATTCTTTTGGATATAGTTTTAAGCACTAATCAAAACTACCTTCCTGTCCAAACACTAAAAATCAGCCAATGCTCCTTGGAACATCTGTACGACGTTAGATTTGGACCCCTTGACCACCCTACTTGGATCCGCACATATTCTGTAGTAGGCGAATACATCACGACATCCTAGGTTCTTGGGAAGAACTTTATGCCAGTGAAGGTAAACAACAGCTAAAGAACTGGCAGCTGTGACTTCACCCTGTGTATATAACAATAGCAACTAGTTTTAATCTCGAGCTCTACCATAATTTCCCGCAAATCGTCAACCGCTACTGTTCCCTAAAGCAGCGACTGCTTTAGGAAAAGGCTCAGGTTCCAGCGCCACTGCTCTGGCAACAGCCGAATTGAATGCGGAAGCAACTGCAAGAAGACGCCCCGGCAGGGGAACGATCGGCACAAATATGGACGCCCGGGGAAATCAGCATTTCTGATTGGACGTTACCGAGCCCGTCAGTCATGGCAAAGGAAATGGGAGGGCGGTCGGCGGCGGCGGCGCCTGCCGGCGCTTCTCGGATGAATGGCGGAGGCGGGTCATGGCCGGGCGTGGTCGGCGCCTGTTTCCTTTTGCTTCCCTTCCGGGCTGCGAGAACTAGCAAAGGCCTGGTGGAGCTGCGGGCGGGGACGGGGCATTCGCTGTCATTCAGTTCAGTCATTCTCTCGGTCAGCGGCGGAGGACGGAAGATGGACGCGCTCGGCAGGAAAGTAGTCGTCTGCGACAACGGCACCGGGGTGAGGAAAGAGGGCTGGGCTTTTCAGGGATGGCCGGTTTGGGTAGAAGGTGGGTGGGGAGACCCTCGTGGGCCTGGCTGCAGCAGCAGCTGCAACAAACAAAATATACCCTTCTGGCCGGAGGGAAGTTGGGCTGCGCCTTCTCAAGGAAGCTGCGGCTCTTTTAGGGCGCTGGCAGGAAAACCCGCTTCCTTTCCGTAGAAAAGACGTTTCCCTCCAAAAGGCTCGGGACTCCCGGCTTCTCATTCCCGTCCTGCAGCCCAGAAGATGCGGGGGCGCCTTCGGTTTCGTCCTGTTCCCTCTGGCCAGCCCAGGGACGGGAAGGCTGGAGGGCGATTCATTCGCTCTCCCTCCTTTTCTATGATTTTGCCGTCAGCCGGTTATTAATCTATTACACGTTTCAGCCAGTTAGCTCTGCCTCTAACTTCGCCGTTGCGCCTTTCCTTCCTGCTACTCAACCCCGAGCAGAACGATTTCCTGTATGTGGAGTATGGTTTAATCTTTCTCGTTCATTCAAATGGCTGGGTTTTTTTTTTTTTTTTTTTTTTTTGGTTATGCACCGGAAGTCGCAACAGAGTCCTGCATTGCTAGGACTTGGCTTGGGGAAAAGAAAAAAAGTGTTGCATGACGCTTCTTCGCCCCACCTCCAAATTTTGTGGGCAGTTACCCAAGCGAAGTTTCCTTGAGTGCGATTTTCAGGGCTTATTATTGAAGCAATGAACGGTCCAAAGACAAGGAAAGTCCCAAGAGTCCCTTTTAAAAGTATGCTAAAAAAATGGACTTTAAACACATATGCAAATGCAAATAAAGAAGTAGCA